ATAAGCGACTTTGTCATTGTAGCATTGTTGATGTTGTGTGTTTTTCATTAAGAGTAATATTGAATCAACCTTAAGAATTAAGTTTGTTTCAAGAATAGGAAAGACCTAACGTTAAAGATCAAAATAAGCGCTACAGATGTGAAAATGCGAGATTAGTTGCTGCTGAGGTAGACGCTCTCGCTCTTTCTCTGCTGTCTGTAGATATTGTTGTTAATTCTTCACTTGGGTACGGCAGAGACATGTTACAGGTTATAATATAATCCAAAAATCATGGCAACAAATGATTTTTTAAGTCAGTTTAATAAGTTTAATCAGTTGAAACTTCTTTCACAGTCAATTTGATTCAACTTAACTCATATTTAACCGTTGCTTCTTGTTATTGTAGGCTTAGGCTACTTTTTTTCAATGGATTTTAATGAATATACTAATTAATATAATGAATATTATTTATTTTTGATTACATATTGTTCATTCATTTATTTTCAACACCGCACCCCCAGCACCCTCATTTTTTCGTGGGCTACACTCCAGGGGGTGCTGCAGCACCCCTACTTCCCGCGGTAATGAAAATAAGTACACTTTAGCATACTTTGAAAAAGAGGGCTTAAAATAATATACTTTAAAAGAATATACTTAGGTGCATACTTAATGTTTTCAGACACTTAACTGAATGTAAATTGCAGTAAAAAGACAATAAGTTATTGTTCAAATTTATATTACAGTAAATGCATATAGTTCTTTTTTTTGACCCACTTTAGAAGGACTTATGTAAGTATCTTTATATGCAATTTCACAATTTTATTGTCTTTGAAATATGGTTAAAGTGTACTGCCGAATGTACTGACAAGCATTTATGGTAAACTAATATAATCTTCATGTAATTTCTATTGAAACTTGCAATTTAGTACATTTAAAATATATTAATTTTAAATGTAATACTGAACTCTAACAGATCACTATAGTTAAAATTAAAACCAAGTACTTTACATATGCTTTAGTATGTTAGTCAACACATACAAATTTGTGTTTTTTAAAGCAAGGTAAGAGATTATTAAAGCATACACATAGAGTAAGTGTCTTTTTATTTCCTTAATATTATATTATCTGCAAGTACAGTTTTTAAAATGCTTTTAAGGTTTGAAGTACAAGTGCACATTAAATACAATTAGGTACACTTCTTTTTCACAAAGGGTGTTAATAGCTGACATATATTGTCATTTACTTGTGTGTCATTGTGTGTGTGTGTGTGTGTGTGTGTATCTCACAAATCCTGCCATTTCAGTTTCATATGTCACCCCTAAGTTAAAATGAAAAAAAAAAAAAAATGCATAAAGAAATTGAAGCATATTGACCACTAAAATGCATTATGACATTATTTTCATGACAATTTTCACATTTACATCACAAATTCTCATTCAAATAATGTGAGAAAATGCAATTCTTGTTACTGTATTGTGAAAAAAATATAATGATATTTTTTCATAATATAAATACCTTTATTTTTACATCATGCTAGTATTGGTAGTAAATTAACCATTATCTCTGGACAGGATAAATCAAACAGTAGTTAGAATGATGTTGTATGTTAAGGTTAATGTAAATCAAGAAATATAAGGGAAAATGTATATTATGATGCTTTCCATTTCATGTTTTCCACTACTGTTAGCTTTTCCGCAGTTCTACAGTACTACAGTGTCATAAAAAAGATATTCCATGAAGTCGCTAAATTAAAATGAGGTCATAACCATTCATACTCAAATTGCATAGACTATAGTGTGGTCACTATGCTTTATACTGTAAACAGAGCTTTGTGCTGGAAGGTGATCATTCGCCTGATCACCCATAAAAATTCACTGCTTTGAATCTGCCCTGTCAATGTGTCCATAAAAGAGATTACACCTGAACCACAAGATAAAATATACTCAAAGCTCTGTTGTTTCCTGCTCTATTACGATTTGTCATGTTCTATGATTTAAGATCTCCACAGTGTTGAGAGAACCGAGAACAGTGTTGTGTGTTCAGCTACTCACCCGCTTTCTGTTGCAAGTCTCTTGTGTTAAAGGAAGCAATGGGAGGTGCTCTATGACCTCTTACTCAGAAAGTGTTTGGTCCAATGTTCATTGCTACAGCAACTGTGCCACACCTGACATAACTAAGTGTAAAGTTATAAATCACAACTGGAGTTACAGATTCACTCATTAGCCCTGTCGAACAATCTCAGTGCTCAAACACACACACACACATACACACATTTAAATCTTCTTCTTTTTTTCAGTTAAAATCATATAATCATAATTGCATACAAATATTTTAGGACTTAATATAGAAAACATTAACATTATGCACATGAACAGACTTCTGGTAGAAAAAGAAAGGAATCTTTCTGGTGTCTCCACTAGGCTTTTTATCTAGCTTACCCAGAGTCTATTTCCTACATTATTTATTTTGTCCACTTTTGCTACTAACAATGTATAAATAATACAAGAAATTCTGCGTTAACACCAGCTGAGTTGCCATGTGATCACAGAAGATCAGAGCAATTGACAAAAAAAAAAAATATTACAAAAAAACTCACTGATAAGATTACTGTAAGATTTTCTTTTGCAAGGACGTAAAAGTAGCACCAAAAAAAATAAAAAAAATAAAATTCCGAACTTTTATCTTATGATGTTTGTGATGTATTCATGCAACAAACATTTTTTTTTTTTTTTCCTGTCAATTTTCAGTCAAATTTCAGTTTTTAAAAATGCTTTTCAAAAAGTGGGATTGCATGTTTTGGCACGTATATGAAAAAATAAATCACTGCTTGACAGAATTAAATGTTAAAATGCATTTGATATGCAATCTGTTTTATTTTGACTCACTAAACACACAACTGTATTGCATCTGTTGCAAAAATAAATAACGTTTTAATGACATGCTAAAGTGTCACACATCAATTTAGCTTCTATCTAAAGTATCACACAAGAAGCTGTGACTTTCCATACAGTAGTCACACTAGAAATTGTAACTGTACATACAGTAAATATCTACAAACATGTAATTTTGAGAGTGTAAAGACTTGAAACTATCTGTACTGAAGTATCATTCTTGTATCCATGTCAGTGTTGGAGAGACTATTTGAATAGCAAAGACAGTGGCTACAATTGATTTGCATGGATTCAAAGTCTGTCTTTTATGCCAGCCTGTCTTAATTCATATTTCATTCAAATCTTGGGTGGAAATAGAATGTAATAGCAAATACTCACTAAGATGGCCACATGAAGTGTCAGTGATAAAATATAGCCATTTACCTAATACCACAGATTTAAGGTTTGACTTTGGGTAGATTTTGTTTTCTGGGAAATTTAGGAATAGGATATGGATGGGAAGGTGGCAGGGCTGGGAAACGTAATTTAATAATAATTATTGAATTGTTTTTTCCGTTGTTATAGAATATTTGATCAATTTTATTCTATTCTATTGTGGGCCTATAAAGCAGAATTTGGGTTTTAATAGCCTATGGTTAGAAAAATGCCCTCATGAAGGAAAAAAAGCCCCTGAAAATCCATTCCAGAGGATAAATATTGTCCCTAATAACAAAGCTAAATGGACAGTTCACCCCAAAATGAAAATTCTGCTATCATTTACTCACCCTCATATTTTTCCAAACCTGTATGACTTTCTCTCTTCTGCAAAATTAGACATTTCTTTTTGGGTGGACAATCCTTTTAATATCCACCAATGCAGGTAGGCTACATGCTAAGTTCACAGAATGCACTTTGCCATAATCCAAGTACTCACACACAGATCACATTAATATTTTCACTGAATCAGAGGTCAGTATAGCCATATATGGAAAAGTCATTTAACCCAAGTTAAAGTCGGATAGGTTGTTCCGCAGAATGGTGTCCTTCACTGCGTCAAAAACAAAGCGGATATTTTCAGTGTCGGTTGCACAGGTGGAATGTGTGTAGATGCTTTTATGTGTGTCTGAGTTCTGCTCCTCATACATACTCAAGATGAACTTCATTGCGGCATCTGCGGCATTTTTAGGGCCTGTGGAATGAGCAGATAACATAGATCTCATAATTTCAGTGGAGTTCAGTAGTAAACAAAAAACACTTTAGCAGTGTTGGGGAGAAACTACTAACTGCATTTTATTTTTTTTTGATGTGTGAAACTTTTGGTTGGGTGGACTTTTAATGGATGGACAAAAATGATGAAAAAATGTTAAACATGTTTTAATTTGTGATGAACAGAAGTCTTATGGGTTTGCGACGACATGTGGGTAAGGAAATGATGACATGATTTTCATTTTGGGGTGAAGTAAAATATATATTCATTATAATATATAATATTTATTCGTGGCTTTAAAATAGCTTCCCCAACACAGCACTGTATATGTTTACTGCAACAAATGAAATGTATTAATATTTTTTAATCAATAAACAGCATAAAATACAATTAGTCAGAGAGAGTGGCTTTTTCATACAATAGCACTGTCTCACTGTACTAACTGTTTCAGTTTCTAAAGGGGTCATATGATGTTGCTAAAAAGAACATTATTTTGTGTATTTGGTGTAATGAAATGTGTTTATGCGGTTTAAGGTGAAAAAAACACATTATTTTCCACATACTGTACATTATTGTTTCTCCTCTATGCCTTGTCTTTCTGAAACGCGTCGATTTTTACAAAGCTCATCGGTCTGAAAAGTGAGGTGTGCTCTGATTGGCCAGCTATCCAATGCATTGTGATTGGCCGAATACCTTCTAGTCGTGTCCTCTTTTGGAAGGCCAAACAAAGTAGTTTCGCTTTCACAACGAAACACACGGCGGGCTAGATTGAGCGGTGGCAGGCGGGCTTGAGAACGGCGCGGCCGGCGGATTCGGCGAAGGAGCGTCCGGCAGGCTTGCGGCAACCACATGTGACGACCCCGGGCTGGACTCCGCTTTGTCCACGGTGAAAGCCGATCCGGCGATCCACAGCGCAAAGTTGATGTATTTCCTCAGCGACCAGCACGGATCAGCTCCAGGCATGACGAAGCGGATATCATCCTCTTTTGGAAGGCCAAACAAAGTAGTTTCGCTTTCACAACGAAACACAGCGCTTTCACGACATAGCGGCGGCAGCAGCAACAATACTACAGCGCCTTCTTTCTTTGCGTGAACATTTGGGCGGCGTTATGCAAATCTTCCCACATCGTGACGTAGACATGTGGGGGCGTGTTAGAACGAGCCATTTTAGGTAGGCGTGGTTGACTCTTAACTTTTATAAAGAATATCTCTTTGGATCTGAGACTTTAGACTTTGCAACTTTACAGATCTTCTTTATGCACCAAGAGCTTGTAACACTCCAAAGAGAAAGGAAAAATTTAAATCGCATCATATGACCCCTTTAACATTTTTATACCTGAAACAATTGATAAATCTGCCAGTTTGGTAAGACAAATTATCTATGAAAACAAGCCTTATGCTGTGTTGCTTCTCATGTAAATGTATGTTGTTTCAATGAAAAACAAGGCAAAAATACTTAAGCTGCGGTTTTGGCACTCCAACCTTTGTATTGTGGAAAATAGTCTACAAGATGTGACTTTGATATCTTCTCCTTCAGGATATCTGTTTTATTGAGGAAGAGGATGACAGAGGACTCCTGGAACCAGGGGTAGGAGATGATTGTCTTAAAAAGTGCCTTACTCTCCTCCATGCGGTTCTGGGGAGGTATAAAATCACATCAACAGAATGAGCAACTTAAAGGTGCAATAGGTGATTGTCTTCAGAAACATTTTTTGTTATGCTGGTTGAAAGTCTCTTCACATCCCGATAGCAATCATTAAGTTAAGTGGTCTAAATGTATTTATCTGTATTTATATATTCTGTGGAAGGTGTAGGACCAAGAAATGTTCGTCCAATCAAAACGTTCGGTCCGAGCTTTTGAATTAGCTTTCCTACCTGCCTGTCAACGTATGTATTAGCATATCTCTGCGCACCCGGTTCTCGCAGACAGGATACGTCATCAGCGCGTTCACGCACGCTGTGCAGACAGAGCGAGAATGGCAGACAAACATCAACAATCTGATCTTCCTTCCTGATATTATAATACTTCTAAATATTTCTCACCGGTGAATGACACACGATGTAGCCCAGCGGTTCCCAATTCCAGTCCTCGC